GCGCGCCCCGCGGCGTCCGTGGTGGGCTCCGCCCGGGCGCTCGCCAGCTGGTACACCCGCCTCGCGGCCAACGTCCGCCGCCGCCACGCCGCCTGCTCGCCCCGCGCCCTCCTCAAGCGCGCGCTGGTAAGCTCTCTCCCGCCCCCGCGCACGCGCGCGATACGCCCGTGACGTCGCCGTGTCGCTCATTCAACAAGTGCCACGGCGCCCGCCCAGGCGCGAGCGGCGCAACGTACTTGGGTCACGAACACCCTCCCTCGCGTGATCAGAGCAATGCCATTACCAACTCGTGCGCTGATCATTTAACTCCTCTCCAAAGCCGTGCATTTGTGATCTTGCGATGGAATGGAACGTGCCTCTTCTTTAGCAATGTATTCTACTTCAAGTTTTCAATTGCGTAATTTTCATATTTGAGTGATGTTTTTGTTTTTACTAAAATTAGCGTCCTCCTTATAACTACTTCAGATTTGTTACTTACGATGAAATGAACATGTATTTATACATATATTACGATGAAATGAAGTTACACATCTTTACTGCAAAAAATGTTTACCCATGTTGAGTGTTCCGTGACGTTCACTTCAATTTAATAGAGTGAACGTTGCGTCACTCTCCCTTTGTGTAGGTTAACTGACCTACCTTTTCTGTGAAATCCCCAACCTTCTTTTTCCGAGAAGAGTGATTCTGCGTGGATGACGCAACGTGCCTTTACGACCGACTCAATAAGACCGCTCTGAAGGCGGACGACGCAGGGCGATTTCCATTTGGGGACGGCCCCCGAAGCGCGTTCACGGCTGTGTGCATAGGCGGTGGGCGGGGCGGGGCGGGGCGAGGGCGTGGGCCATCGACCGCCCGCCCCCTCCGCCCGACGCGCGCCGCCCCGGAACGTCCTCGGGCCGGCTCCCGCGCGCCGCGCCGCGCCGCCCATGTGGATTCGCCCAACACAAGAAGCACTGCGCCTCTGTACCCCCCCCCCCCGGCTATGAAGTTCAGGCAAGAGGCGGCGGAAACTTTTTCACAGGCGCATAATGCAGTCGGCTGACTGACTAGTGGAGCGCCCCGTCAGTGCTGGATTTTTTTTTTCCGTTCTGTAGGGTCAAGGTCGTCTTGAAGACCTGCGATCAATTAAATTTAGATTTCAACATTACGAATTCAGTATGCGCTTATTAGTTTCAGTAATGTAAGTAATTAGGAATTCTGTAAAATGTATTTGAAATCGTATTTGCAATAGAAAATGTAACCTACTATCTCTAAAAAGTACCATTTTTAACTCTAAAAAGAGTTTTGTTGTAAAAATATAAAGCAGATTTTTAGGATTCTCATAGTAAAGGCCTGAAGATCAGTAATGGCATTTATGGAACACTGGAAAAAACCTGAAACGTTTTAGAGTACGAAAATTGTTTAGAAATATTGAGTAGCATTGAAAAGCATAGGGGAATAACAATGTAGTAATTCCTTGTGTTAGTGCAGGCATTCGTTTAAGAACGTATTAAAATGTTTTCTATTTTCGTTCACTTGTCTTTACAAGCACACCACCTCACTTCGCAGATCGTAAATTATTCTTGTCCTATATATGTGAGGAATGCGTTTTAAATCTCATAATCATTAAAGCAAAATAACTGATAAAAATAGTATTAACTTACCGTCATTGCGAATTGTTGGCCATCAGTTTGAGGTATTCGGGGTGTTTTAGTTATTTTGCTTTTATAGTTTAAGTTAATTTTCATTCACAAGAAGACAGTTACGCAATATCCAAAAAATAGTGAATATGAAGATATTGTCTTATATTCATAAAAGCACTTACATTCTATGAGTAAAAATTTGCTTAACTGAATCATGAAAACGGCTTGAAAAATTACAACAAGCATTATCCTAATTATTCTTTAAGTCGTTAAAATTATTAGCATCCGAGAAACCTTGTAATGATATTTTTCTTCATTCGTGAATTTATAGTTAAAATATTGTTCGATGGTGCTTCACATTTTTACTTAATAAATACTACTTGTCACCGAAGTATGTAATAATGTAATGTTATGTCATAATGCAAACATCCTAAGATTTCGACTGAACGTTCGGGGGATCGTAATGTCGAAAAAATATTTTTAAACTTTTGTCTGGTTCGTCTATGTACCGTATACAAGTATTTCCACAAAATCGGTATTCGACGATCAGTCTGGCATATTTGGAAAATGCTAATTTGAAACGGATCGTAAAGTTTTGTGATACATCACATCAAACTCGTAGGTCATTTTCAAAAAATTTCTCAAAAATGACATTTAGGCGTTCTCTTCACATTTTTTATCCATTTAATTAATTACTCCTTCGGCCTACTGGCGAATCATAATTCATAACAAAGCTAGTACAAATATAGCTTTTTTTATCTTCATAGTGTTGATTTCTCCCGTCATAAACTTTTCTAGAAACTTAAAAAAATATTTCGTTACAAATCTTTGAATTAATTGACATTTGAATTTTGTCCTCGCTTGTGAATACATATTAGTACTTTAAAAGTTTAGATTATTTTGTCTCTTCAGTTTTGAATAATTTGATTTCTTCACCTTTCTCATGGATTGAAATGTAGCTGGGATGGAACAAATCTTCAGTTTTCCGAGACCTCAATGGCCGTGACGGATTTCATTTGGTTCCTGTGTTTTGTAATAATTGGCAACATTTACGGACAGAAACTGATCAAAAATGCAGGTATGTTTCGAAAGGAATTGCATTAGCTTTTGCAGTTCGTCACATTTAATTTGCCTCTGCACCTATTTTTTTAGTCTGAGCAAGAAATATTTAATCTCTTCACTTGCGAGTGAAATACTAATTTAGGCAGCATTAATTCATATTTACTTTGCGCTAAGAAAGATTGCCCCCTCTCCGTAACATATGTACCGCTGCTTCTTCTGCGAATCCCTCCTTCCACTATTTCTTTTTCCTTGATCGTGGGGAGTGGAGCGTGAGGAATGCGTAATTTTGGACAGCTTTCTTGCGTCAGTGTTATTAAAGTTCCTGTTTACCACGGACGACCCGGGCATGACTGCTGCTTGGCAGGGCTTTCGCAAGGTTTGCGGGAACGAGCTAGTAACTCGCAAACGGCAGCCCAGAACTTTGGACTTCGCCAGGTCATATTAAATTCTTCTTAAAGATTGCACGTCGCATCCCTGTGAAGGAAACTGAGTGAAATGCTGTTGAGCATCCTCTGAGCAACTCTTCTTCTCAGATATATTGATTGAAATTATTTGACTTCTATTTTCTTCCGCTGTACGAACTCGTAAGATTCTCGAATGAGAGATTGTTGGAATTGTTTAAATGAGAATTTGTTTCACTACGTCAAGTAGGTTTCCGATGATTTAAATCACTGATTTAAATGGAATGTTTTAAAAAATCAGACTTAAATCCAGGTATAAATAATAAGAGGTATGGAGCTAAATATTTTATTCAGAATTATAATTTGAAAGAAAAGAAAACTATATTTAAAGATCAGTACAACGATCAACTTTGACGTACTATTTTTACGAATGAAATATTTATATAAAAAAAAGTTTGTTAGGCTTTTCAGTTCCCATATAAGCCTTATCCCAAAGAGGAACCAGGAAAAGGGATAAATGGCTTTTGCCATGCCGTCTGGTTTAAACATTAGCCTTCTAATATGCCTACTAGCAGACAATGATTAACCAACACTGTTTTTTTATCCATAGTTGTGAAACTCAGTTTTTACGCAGTATAGCTTAAATACAGAACAAATACTGCCGAAACAAAGCCTAATAAAGTCGAGCCGGAGTCCAACTATTCTCAAAATCTGAGAATTATGGAGGAAATTTAAAAATCATTCAATGATTTAATTATTTTTTTTTTTCATGAGTTTTTGAAACCCAGATTGCAACAGTTTGTAGAAAGCGCCACAGGCTGACAGCAAAGATCGCCACAGACATCGCCACCGGTTGTCTTTGAGGGGTTACCGATTATCGGTTAGTGGTCTTTGATTACTGATTATCTTAAAAACCAGTAAGAACGAGAAATTCAAGCGATGTAAAACAGGTTTTAAAAATAACTTTTCGAGTAAGAAAACTATAACATATATTGTAATAAGATATCGCATTATATAGAATACATCAGAACGAATAAAATTAACGTGACTTAAAAACATCATGTAAAGGAGGTAAATCTGATTTAAATTTTTAAAAAAATCATTTTTATTAAACAATCGCGGGTTTTAGATACCATTTTTTATTAATTCAATTTGTGGAGAATGGAAGAATAAGATGTAATTGATTGTTATATTTTCCCAATATTGACAGATAATTCACAAAATAATAACATCCTCGACTACGTTTGAATCAGAAATTCGTGAAGCCGAAAGGAAAAAAAAAACGAAGAAGGTTAAACGAGCTGCACTAATTTCATCGCATCTTTGAGAAAAGGAGGTCAAGGTCATTGTGGACGGATGGCGGGTGGGCAGCGCTTCCGCAAGGCGAGACAGCCCGTACGTTCCGCTTTGTCAGACAGGGGATGTGCGACGACTTCCCTAAGAGTACTCATATATCCTAGTTGCGCTCTTGCTTAGGCTTCACTAATGATCACGCGTATCGCCCTATGTTCATTGTTTATTTCCTTTAGTTGTAGTAGTTCGGTGTTTTGGAAATGGTAAAGTCGTGTATACGTCAAAAACGATTAAAATATAAAATTGTATGTTGTACAATATGTTCTTTTTTTTTACATTGAGCAGGTAGGAAATAAGTAGGTTTTTTTTTATTATAATTATGAGTTTCAGCATTGACTGAGTTTGCTAATAAACGAAAATATTATTATGTTTAGAGAACTGCGGCTAAATGTTTTCTCCAAATCTATTTTCAGAACTTTATGCTAAGCTTACTAATGGAATAAAGCTTTACATTACCATATCCATTACCAACGGAGTCTGATAAAGTTACGTCCGAAAAGTTGAGTTCTCGAGATTTTTATCAAATTAAAAAGTGAAGCGCGGTCGTGGCATGTGCTTCACAAATCCATTAATCCTTGATTATCCCACTTTGCCAAAAAAGTTAAGTTTGTTATATGTTCGCCATACACATGGAGGCAAACTGGGCAGATTAAGTCCTGCAGCTGCCGGGCAGGGGTACCAAATTTACTTGTGTATTCCAAATGAGTTAAGTTGACTTTATAATCAGTTAATACAAATATTACATTTTTCAGATCCCATTTTTAAAAACATAACAATTTTGCAGGGATTGTACCCAAGAAATTTCGTGTTTTCAATGTATACACCTTGCTGATTTTCTTTATTTCGCCTACATCTTGCGGTATACATACACACGATACCAAAATTATTCCAAACGTTTACTTTATTAAATAGGATTTGAAAAAAATATTACATAACTCCGATTACATTTGAGGAAAAAGTCAACTTCATAGGTAGTTAAATTGTAGGTTCATATAATTTCAACAGTATCGATTCTTGCATATTCGAGAGCGCTGCGATTTGTAGATTCCATGCTACTGAAAATGGGAGTAGGTGTAAGACAAAACGATCGTGTCATTACGACGTAAGATACTGTAATTCTGATTGTGCGTGAGGTTTAATTTTAATTTTCGTAAATTTTGAAGAAAATAAATAAAAACAGCTTTTATGTAGTGACATTTTACGTACGTATGTACTGTAAATGTAATAAATATATTTAAGTAGATATACGTGCGATGCGTATTAAATTATAACTCTGAACCAAGCAATAATCGATGTATCCTTTAACAATGTGTCGCTTACATCATATTAGACAATAGCGGCGCTGCAGCGTAGCGGATTTCTCGTTTTATCTCTAAGTGATATTAAAATAAATTTATGAAGATCATTATGCTCTTCTAATAATTCAGTTGTCTTATGCAAAACTTTCTGCCTCAAACTGAAAAGCTGCACGCCATGTCTATTTTGTCTAGGAAATGGACTTAGTGTGGACGGGTTATTTTATTTTATTTTAGTATTGGTCCAGCTCCACTTTTTAAAGAAATGGAGTTAACTTCCTTTTCAGACCTGCGAAAGTAATTTACATTGATTTTATTCTGAATGATTTGCAATTCAAGTTTCTTTAAGTAGCTAAGAGAGGGCATCACAAAATTCGCACATCACTGGAGATAGTGTGTTTTGATGCTGGGTATTAAGAAGGTGAGTTGATGTACATGTGCTTCATAAAGGGTGATTTGTGACGCGTTTCTAACACTGCAGTAATATTGATGATCTGACATCTTTTGGGCAGTACGTAATTTTGATTTTGAAAATGGATAGTTAAATTTATTATGTACATATGATTCATTTCAACCGTTCAGGAGGTAGGATCGTGAGCATTTATGACCACCAGTGGGTTTGACAGCACACACACATTGAGTGTAGGACAGTCCTGTAGAATATTGTACAACCTAGTGAAATATTCCACAATCTTGTGCAATATTTAGTTAACATCTCAGTAAATACAATGTTTTACTACTTTACGTTGCTGGAACATGGTTTTTACGTACCGTATTTAATAGCACCCGCTTACATCTTTCGTGATTTTTTTTTTTTTTTTTTTTTTTTTTTTTTTTTTTTTTTTTTTTTAGAACACCCAATTGTTTAAAATATCGGAGGATTATATCGGAATATATTTGAAAAACGCACAACTCTTTTCATACGAGTTTTTGAGAAAAATATTTCATCCTCTTTTGAATAGGAATTGGTCCTCAAACACTTCTGAGGTTTTTGAGGAGGAAGAAGTTTTTTTCTATATGCGAACATAAATGCATGAAATACTCCTGTAGTAGAGGTATTATATTATCCGTACCGAAAGTTTGAAGACTTGTTTACTCTTTCGACGTAATTTATTATGGGAAAATTGTCACAATTTCTTTCAAAACTGCATAACCACCCTTAAAGTCCTAATATTTAAGAGTTCATTGCATGAAGAACAAAATATGGTTTTGGGCAAGTTCGAAAAGAAGTTGAATTTCTGAAATTTTAGAAATTCATGTCTTTAAGTTGAACTAAATTCGTAGAACATCATCAGTTTTGGGGGAATAAATTCATTTCGGTTTAGGTATTGTTTCCCAATGGACGGATTGATTTTTTCGGTATCGAAGACCCACAAAACCACTTTTTTGTAAGCATTGCATAGCTATACTATATGAGAAAGTAAAAGGGGAATTGAGGAAATAATCTTCAGTTCCTCTTTAAACATTCTATATTGGTATTTTTTGTACCTTGCAAACTAACATGTGTAACAAACGCCAATGATGAAAGACATATTCGTGAATATGTGTGAATAGATAAAGTTGTAAGTTTAATTTTCGAGTGATCGGTTATGTAAAGCTCCTAAGCGAGACGGTACTTTTGTTTTGATGTTTCCCGTTTCCCTCGGCGGCCGTGTTGGGAAACGATGAAAAGGGCAGCCGCGCGCGGTCTGCGTGGGCGGAGCGGCGGCGGTCGCGTAACGATCTCCCGCGAGACACTCCCACGCCCACGCCCACACCGAACAAGCCCGCCCNNCCCGCCCGCCCAGCGAAACGCGGCAAGTTCAGGCGCCGTGCTCGGGTGTCTCGGTCACGGCACGAGCCGGTGGAAGGGGATGAAGCAGTTCCGTAAGGGCAGCACGCTCTCTTTACTCGTATGCGAGTGTCTGGTTAAGATACTATTTTATGAGGACAGCCCAATTGTCACGTGGTTACCTCTGTAACGGTCTCTTCCTGGCGTTCTTTCTCCTTTACAAATTCTGCGATGAGTATACATTCAACGAGGAAATCAGACTGTAATTGTCTTAAGGTGCATTGCAGTTATTCTGAATTGATGAGAGGTTTAAAACGGACAAGCACTCCCGTAATTCTACTATTCTTTCTCTCGGCTGGGACCAACGTCTTCCAGTAGATCGTATTAACAGCTTCACGAGGTCATTTTTTCCATAAAAAATTATACGCTCGTGATATCAGATTTATACTCGTCGCTTCCATGCTTCACATTCAGTAACCTGGTACAATTCAATATAATCTATCCACTTAATTTCGTCAATTTTGCCAACGTTTCTATCTCGGAATGTATTAAGAGTGTAATTGCTAACAAGTTCCACAGCATACCTTGACTTCTTGTAGTATCATCTGAAAACGTTACTTAAAGCTACAATAAGTTTATTGGTCCCATATTCCACTTTATGGCCAATTTTTGAAACACTATTCAAAACTGCTTGAAACTCAGTATACCATGTCCAATTCTTACTAAGAATTGTTTCGTAATATGGGCACATTCAGGCAATCGGCGGTAAATCTATTGTTAAATGTTCTTCTGCCTTCATTGTGAATTTACAATGTAATATTTGTGTTTAATACTGAACTTATTTCAAAGTAATGTACCTTGTAAACGTCGCGCTATTTTCCGTCATAATGTTTTTTTCTCTGTAAGTGCTAACAGCGAGAAACGTCTTCTTTGATGGCCAGTTCCAATTTAAGAACTCTTTTAATGTAAAGATTGATGTATTTAATCTACGCAGTATGAAGTCAGATATATTTCGCTTTTAGTTCGTGAAAAGGAAGGTAGATGAATCCGGCGGCGTAGAGATTCCCTCTGAACTGAGTTAATAAGACGGCGTCAAACGTAATCGTGCAGCTACAGCATTGGGAAGATGTCGAGGGTGATCAGGGATCCTCATCTACGTAGCTTGGTGCCTTGCCAAAGAGACATCAGCGATGGGAAAATCATTTCGACTGGGAGTTTTATATATAAAAGATTCTTTGACAATTTCCGAAACATTTTTAAGGCATTTACAAACATAATATGAAGTAAATTTCTTGTTCTTTGATATGGAACATTTCACAAGACTGATCCCTCGATTGTCTTAGAATGTTCAAAACATCGAAATATCCCAAATAACTTGACCGTATCATCATTTACCAATATTATGTATAGAACTATCAAACTTAAAGAATTTATCAACTTGTCCAATACTTGTCTTGTTGCAGTTAATTTCGAAAAAAGTCGAGTTGTGGAAACAATATTAAGTACACGGTAATGGGTTAATGACGCAACTTCCCATCTTTCCACCCTGCCTTCCCTGAAGTGGATCAAATATCGGGATGACCTCAATAGCACTCCACTTGTTTGGAAATGGCTACAAGAGTCGCTTGACGTCATTGTTCGGAGTGGCCACAAATGAGGCTGAAAATACAAAATGGGGATTTTCCTCTCTTCATTACTTCTGTTTTGCCTTCTAGAAAGTGCTTGCACCGCTAAAACTTGCACCGTTTATTTTCTTTATCGTGAAGTACGACAGCAAATACAACAAAAGATTCAATTTTCCATTACGGTAATATAAACAAATTAAGGAATTTGAGTTTGGAAATCCCATTTCGGTCCTTTTCACAAGTAGTGGTAACGATTTTGGCTGATGTGCATCTCAAATAATGAACATAGTATCGTATAGAATACGTTATTGAAAACTCGAGTGCTAAATCGTTATTCCCTGGAAAGCACAATATACATGTGATTTTTAGAGTATAGGCTTGATCTTGATGTGCCAGTGATCCTGTGCATAAAAAAGTATTTTCTGGTGAGCTTAAAGCCCGAAAGCCAGGCGAAAAAAGAAGTGCAGCCGCACGTGGACGCGAGGAGACGTGATCGCTCCGGCCACCCATTGCGCCCGCCAACCCCGGACCGGTTCCTCCGCGACCGGTGCTGCGTCGCCGGCTATTTCTCATTCATTGTCATTTCGGCGAGAAAAGAGTCGCTTTGGCCGGCCGCCAGTAGGCCGCGGCTGCTCGGGCTCCCGCGAAAGCCAGTTCGCGGCGAAAGCGCGCCGAACCGAACAGAGCCGAACGGAGCGGAGCGGAACGGAACGGAACTGACGGAACTGAGCCGAACAGCAGAGAGCACAGCAACGGAACTGAGCCGAACAGCAGAGAGCACAGCAACGGAACTGAGCCGAACTGCAGAGAGCACAGCAACGGAACGGAGCCGAACAGCAGAGAGCACAGCAACGGAACGGAGCCGAACAGCAGAGAGCACAGCAACGGAACGGAGCCGAACAGCCGAGAGCACAGCAACGGAACGGAGCCGAACAGCAGAGAGCACAGCAGCCCACAGGTTGTGCTAACCTGCGCGGATTGCGTTCCGTCGTGCTTTCGAATTGCCAATCCATCCGTCTACATGACGTCTTATTCGTTTTTCCCTTTCCGGTGTGCACTATGCATATTACCCTGTTACGTTCAGTACATCCTTTGTGTTAAATTAACAAAACATTCCAGAAGACTTTAATAGTTGTAGTAAGTTTCAATGTTTCTCGTTCATTCCCCTCGTGCAGTTCAATCAGAGATACTCCTTTCATGGTTTTAAAATACCCTATTTCCAAGTTTTTGTGGACTTAATTAAGAAGTTATATACGGAGTTACTGTTCCTAGTCGATTCTTCTGTAGTAAGGCATTTTGAATTTTAAAATAATAATGATTTGCATCTACATTGCTCTTATTGTTGTACCACATATTTTGTATTTGTTAGTATACACTTAACTAATAAATGCGTGTACTGTAGTTTCCTGTATAAATAAGAAATAAATCATGATTGCCTTCTCGAATTACTTGTCTACATTTTTTAGGGCAAACACCTTCAGGCGAATGTACCGAAAGATATGAAAAGGTATAATTTAGGCGGAGGAACGTGCTGTTTTTGCTCCAGTATTCGTGTGTTCAGAGCATAGTTAGATACAAAAGTCAAATGGAACACAGGGACACTTTTAATGAAATTAAGCGTATTAATGTTTCTTTCTGATCAGATTGTATTTTAGGAATTTCTTAATTTCTGTTGGGTATCTATCCTGTTCACAAATTTCGAAGAAATATAAATGCACCAATTAATGAAGTTTACATTTTTGATGTATTAAAAATAAGTGGGCTTCCTGAGTTGTGAAGACAAAAATTAAGAAATGTTTTTTCTTTTTTCTCTAAAGCGTCTAGGCTTTTAGGGCGCTAGAATGGATGATCTGATGATCTCTACACAAGACAAGCATTCTTGAACGTTGCTGGTTAAATGAAATATTCTATAATCGATACGCCAATGATCAACTATTAAGGATATTACATATTTTAATCGACTATGATTATACTACTAAAGACGAATACGATTTTGGAGGATTGTAAAGTAATTAGTACAATGAGTAAAGTCCTAATTCTGCACTTATTCGCAAACGAATGGTAAATGTTGAAAACGGTATCGAACAATCACATTTGTGCTTTGCGACAAAGTCAGAAATGAATAGTGGTAAGACTACGAAACGGCCAATTAGTTGTTATTACGCGATTCCAAATTCGCTGCTGCCCTGTCCTATCGTCTAGGGGAGTTTGTTGCCGTGCGTTCACTCAGATGATGACACAGCAGAAAGTGGCGTGCGTACACGTCTTGCAGGGGATGAGCGCGGAGCGCCCTCAATCCATAACCGAACTGAAGCGCTCAGCAGATTGCCTCCCAACGCGACTGAAGTCGAAGGTCGCGTAAGCGGAGAGATCGATACGAAGGAAGAAGCAGCGCTGCTTCGACCCCACACCTTCCTCTCCCTGTTCTTCCTCCCCGCCCTCCCGCCAGCTTCCGGACCGCTCTAATCCCTGCTCCTCCCGCGCCCCCTCCCCTCTCACCGATGTGCTTTTGTTCTGAGGCTTCAGGCCTTGCCGCTCCCCTAAGTCTTTTGAGAGTCGCCTTCGTTCTTTGATAGTCCTTTTTGTTCACGGCCAGAATATGTTCAGATTTTTGTAGTATAAAGACTGTTCGCTTGATTTTTGGCATTTATTTTTCCGTTTTGCTATCCATCTTTGTTCCTTCTATCTTTCGTCTCTTTTTTGCGTTTTCGTGTATGATTTTTTTCTTAATAACCTCTACCGCTTTTCTCTGCTTTTCCACGTTCCCCGTCATATTTCTACCATTTTTCTTTCCCTTATCCTACCCCTTAATTTCCCACATTCTTGATCATTTTTCATCTAGACAGATATTGATCACACTCTCTTATTTCTCTTATCTTGCTCCCCTTCACGAGTTCGCTCTATCGTACGTCTTGTTTCTCTCTTGCTCCCCACCCCACTCCCAGCCCCGGTGTTCCTTGCTCCATGTAGTGCCCGTCGAGTCAGCTTCTTCAGTCAACCACGCCCAGTGTTTAAAACCGCCGCTGGCTCGTGGGCGAATTCACTGTAAGCGCGAAACCTGCCGGCACCTGTTGCTGGCAGCGTAGGTTCACACCGGTGCCAGCGGAGAGCCCGAATGTGTTTGGATGATGTAGGACGCGTACGTACCGAATAATTTTTTGCCCCCTTTGGCCCACTAGTTTGTTTGCTTTATTTTTGTTTTCCAGGGTAAGAAATTTCTGCAACAAAAAATTTGTAATTTTACACGTTTTAACCTTTAGTACGCATGTCATTAGTTCAATACATTTTGAAAAATCATTAATAAATACATGGTAATATAGCAATTGGTTTAGTATACGTTATAGAGCTTGTAAGTTTGGTAGAATGCGTTAAAGATTCAATTCTTTCAGTTTACGTTATTACGAGCTGATACGCCGCTTCATTTGTTTTACATAATAAGAGAAATGCTGAAGTATGTCTGAAGTTATTTGGTCCATTTCGTTGTAGAATTACAGATTTTCGCGTTTTCGCCGAACATAGTTTCAGGATTTCTGCTTTTCAGTGTATGTTATATTAAATGAAACTGATGTCTGAGACTTGCATGAGCACTATCTCGTCAAACGCACTCTTTTCTCTTGTAGCTGCTCATTATTATGTACGAAGTGACGTTCGCCTTTTCTGTTGCAGTTACCGGTTGCGGATCCATTTTTGGAGAAGGTTAACATCGCCGACCTAGGTAAGTTTCCATTTGCTTGAGCGTTAAAATAGAGACGTGCGTATTTCATTTACTAATACACCTTTTTCCCCCCATACGAGTCGCACTAATGTAAATTTAATGATATAGTTATATTAATTACGAATAAATTATTCTAATTATTAATCGCAAATAATATTCGGACACATTAACTAAATACCTTTTTTATCATTAATTCATTCTTCACTATGGAAAAAAACAGTAGTTAATGAGATATATTCAATTTTTTACAGTCTCACGTTTTTATACTGTAAAGACATTGATCTATTTTTGGTTAGAATGTAACGTAATTGAAAATTTGTTTCTGTGTATTCATTTGCTATTTAACTTCACAAATTGCAATTTTTTCAATTCTGGTCTCTTATGGATTGGTTCCGTTGGGCAGAAAGTGATCTAATTATGATATACCACAATACCTGTTCACTAATTTCAATATCGATACCGGGAGTATCGACATCGGGGGATCCTAATTTATGCCTAGTGGAAGATTCCTAAGAGTGAAGTATTTTTATCTCTGTGTTGCGAAGCACGGAGTTCATGAGGTGGGCGGGATTTGTTTCCGATGGTAGGGATCAAAATGGTCTGGACTCAAAAACAGTTATTTCATAACAATTAATTACTCTAAGAAAGTAAATATTCACTAGCCTGAGGGAATTATTTCCGTAATACATGATTTTGAAAATAATTCTTTGTAGTTGAGAACGAATGTACACTATACAGTAAGATAATTGTGATATTTGAAGTAACATTAAATATCAAGTTGATAATCGGTATCGTTTCAGAGCTACTATTGTTCAAAATTGATTGAAAATAGCTTTGCGTCTACGACTTCCTTATAGTGGTTATTTCAAAGTGACATTGAGCCTACAATAACGAGTTATTTTAGCGCTGGCAAGTATTGCGAGCCCCGTCATTGTTGCACGGTAGGGTTGAAGTAGAAGCGATTAGCCGCGGCGGGGCGCTGCGCGAGGTCCCCGCGCAGTGTCTGAGACGCCGCGGCGATTGAAGACGCGTCCCTCCATTCACTGGCGCTTGTTCGGGCCGCTCTGGAACGCTTTCAAATTCTCAGCTGTGCACTTGCCTCGCCACTCGTTAATCTGAAAGTCCCTGGCCGAGTCCTCGCTCCTCTCCCCCGCCGTGCCTGCTGGCGAGCAGCAGCGGCAGCAGGAGCGTGTGTGTGTGTGTGTGTGTGTGTGTGTGTGTGTGTGTGTGTGT